TTCTGAACACGTATTTCCCCTTTTCCTTTCTCCTTATCCACCCATGAAAATCATCGGATCTGAAACCTATTTTATGATTCGGTTTCTAGATAAGCCATCTGGGTTTTCCTGAGAAGGTTTTCCTCTGGCTCTATACAGGCCCCAGGTGAGGTCTGACCCAAGAGTTGCCATTGGCCTGGGCTTGGTTTGTGAAGCTTTACTTTCAGGTGTTCAGTGTGCCAGTGTTCCAGGGTCACTGCTGTGCCAGACGGATAACAACACCTAAGGCCATGCTTCTTGGACTTTCTCAGCAAACATGTTTAGTGTCAGGGAGTCAGGTGAGTGCATACTCCTGGGCACATTTAACCTGCCTTAGGTTACTTAACCCCAGTTTCATTATCTGTAAAATGGGGATATGCACACCTACCTACAGAGATGCCCTAAGATAAACATGTACTATAGCTCTGGCACATGGTAGGCATTTGGGAATGTTACTGCCTTTCTACATACCTTTTCCTCTTGGGGCAGGGTCAAGCAGCATGCACTCATTCACTTATTCATTCGTTATTTCTTCCGCGTGCCAGGTAATAGGCTAGGGGCTACGACTACCAAGAGTTGGACAAATGAACAATGAACATGTCCTGTTCTCAAGGCCTCACAGTCAAGAGGAGATGGACATGTAATTCGGTGAGTTTACTTAATGTTAGAGGGTCTGTGCTGAATACGCTGTGGTGGTGGAAAGAAATAAAGGGTCACTTTTCTAGAAGTCAGAAAGGGGAATAGTTATTTGCAGGGCAAAGGCAGAGAAGCATGAATGGGCCTGGCTGAAGGAGGGCACAGGAAGGGGCATGGCTGGGCTGACCAAGTGTGATGGGGGCAAGCAGTGGTGATGCTGGTGACAGGTTAGGCCTGGGGGCCAGCAGAGACAGGCCACGGAGACCTTGTATACAAGGAGTTTGTCTTCTTACTGTAGTTCTGCTGAGAGCTCAAGCAGGAGAGCGTCCTGAGCAGGTCTGTGTGTTTGGAAAGATCTCTTTGGTGTCAAAGGGACAGGAGGCTGGTGAGAGAAGCTGGGGGAGACCATTGCACTAGAGCACTGGGGGAGGGAGGGGGCAGCTCGATGGGGAGAAGGCAGAATCTGCAGGGTCTGTGATGGTTCCGTGGCGTGGGACAGGTGGTGGTGGCTGGTTTTGAAACGAAATATGCAGTTTCTAGTCTCCTAGGAGCTTAGAAACCAGAGATTTGTGTATAAGGGTACACAGGCTTCTGGATGTGGCACATAATTTCAGAAAGATCACCAGCTTTGTGCCTCATAGGCCTGGGGCCAGTGACGGTGTCTGCCTGAGAGCAGGGAATCCTTAAGCAAAGAACTTAACCCCTTGGGCCTCATTTCCTGGACAGTGAAATGACTTGAGTAATGTCTCCCTTTCAGTGTTGTTTCCGGCATTAGATAACACATAGAAAGTGCTGGAGACAGTCTGCTATGTAAGGAGAGTAGCACATTTTATCTCCTTCTACTTGCTTCTGATATGTTCCAAGTTTTGATATAATGTTATTATGCACCTAGAACTGTGCCAGGCACAAAGTAGGCACTAAAAAAATTTTATCTATTACTTCTGTGAGTGTGTTTTTTATTTTTATTTTTTATTTATTGGCTTTGTGTGTGTATTTCATTTTAATCCTATAATAGTCATACCAAAATTTGAAAAAAAAAGGATAAAATTAAACCAAAATAGCTTTCCAACCATGATGTCACCACTATAACCTGAAGAGTCTCCAATGGGAATTTTAGGATTGGCATTCTTGATAATTAATTTGGCTGAGTGGCAAGACCAAACTGTCCCTGGGTTTCCTGATAGATCCAGTGCGTTGGCAAAGTCATCCTCCAGGGGGCGATGGTCAGCATTATGTCAAGACTGCAGGTGCACCAGGTGGATGTGTACAGCTTTCAGGGTGCAGGTGACGTTGCTCACAGAAGTGGCACTGGCTCAGTTCTGAGTTCTGGCCTCTTCCAGTTGACTGCAATTATATTTTTGGAGAGGTTTAACTTCCTCCCAGAGAAAAACTAAGTAAATATGAATCTTGGAGAGAAGGGCACAACATTCTGCCCTGTCAGGATCTTTAGTGCTCCCTGTGGCCAGTCTTTGTGATAACGGAGCCCCTGTCCGGGAATTTCCCACTGGGGTTGTCCAAGTCTGGATTCTCTGACTCGGGGAAGTGTGGCCCAACTGAAATAGCATGCCAGCCTGGTGTGTAAGTTGAAATATTCTAGTAGTCACATTAACGAAGTACAGAGAAACAGCTGAAATAACTTTAACAATATATTTTATTTAACTCAATATATTCCAAATATTATCACTTACTTTGTTAAAATAAAAAATAAGTAAGACATTTTATTTTCAAAGATAGTAAGTCCTTGAATAGATGTGTATTTTGTACTTACAGTTCATCTCAGTTTGGACTAGCCACATTTCGAGTGCTTAGTAACGCCACGTGGCTGTGGCTGCTGTGTTAGACACTGTAGCTCTGCTGTTTAGGAGTGTCGCATGTGACCCACGAGGGCCGGTGCAGCCTTCCGCAGCCCAGGGTGCTGTGGTCCGGGTGTTTAGACTGCAAATGTGAAGTAGCGAGCCAGAAGCCCTGGCCACCTGCTCCCACAGCAGAGGGAGGCATTTAGTAATGATCATCGAAGTGGAATGCAATGTTTGTAAACTTTCGAGTTTTTCATTCTTCTATAATTATGTCATAAAATGAGGGCGGTGGTTAGGGGTTGGTGAGACCAGGGATTTTCTTGGAAGAATGCTTTGCTGTGCCTGTGACTCATGTTCTGACAGGAGCACTAGACTCAGAATGGCTGTGAGGAAAGCATTTGGTCCCCCTACGGATGTCTGGCTAAGCGCGTATGAGAAACTCCTTTGGATGTGGGGCAAATATGTACACATCCCCACGGAGAAGCTGAAGCAGGGTCTTTGCATTGCATTTCAGTAGAGCCTCTGAGTCCAGCTGGAGCTGAGAAAAGTCTTGAGCTCCTGGACACCAGCTGAGGTTGGTAATTATAAGGCTGTGTATGAGCTGGGCTGATTCCAGCTGTGCGGGAGCACTGGGAAGGGAAGACCACAGGGCACAGTTCTACCTGATGCCCCCTGGCTGCTGAGAAACTGGAAGGTCTTTCTGGATATACCCAGCCCAGAGACACAGAAATCTCTGCACAGTGAATTTAATATGATAGTAACAATTCCTTACATGAACAAGAGTACATTTTGTATTTTAAAATACCTCCTGGTTCACATCCCTGACTATGAATCAGAAGCAATTGTGGAGCATGCTGAAAATACTGGCCCCTGAACTGCACCCCAGGCTTACTGAGTGAGAGCTTCCTAGGAGGAGAGGGGTCCACAAGGCCATGCTAGTGAAGAACCAGTCCTGGGTACCCCTGCACCAGACTTTGCTAATTCCGGGCCGTTACCACTCACTGTGTGATGGTTAGAGGTACAGACTCTCAGCCTGTCTCCGGTTTCCTGCGAGACACACTCTGCATTTTAGTAAGATCCTGGGTGGTTTGGATGTAGGGTTACTGGATAAAATACAGGACATCCAGTTAGACTTAAATTTCAGATAAACAACAAATAAGTTTTTAGTATAAGTATGTCCCTTGTAGTATTTGAGACATACTTATATTGAAAACTTATTTGTTGTTTATCTGAAATTCAAATCTAATTGTGTCCTATATTTTTATTTGTTAAATATCTCACCCTATTTGGGTGCACATTATAGTCTGAGGGGCCCGGGCTCTGCAATGGCCCACTCTTCTAACACTAGCATCATAAAGACGTCCCATTGCATGTTGAATGCATTTCTGGAAACTTTTTTCCCCATTTAAATATGATTAACCTTTGAATATTTAGGTCTCTCATAAATTGAAATAATATTTAAGTAGTATGTAAACTGAAACTGCCTTTTCAATTTATTTTCTTTTGGGTCTTTTGGTTCAGAATGCCAGGAAAAAAACAAAACAAAACAAAAACCAAACTATCTAATAAGTCGGTAACTTACATTATTTATCCAAAAAGAAAAAGAATTTTAAAACCCTATCCTAAGTAATAAAAAAGCACATCCAACACTTTAGAGGTATGATTTAATATAGGTATGATTTAATATAATATTTAATATTTTAATGCTTTAATATAGTCACAAAGATTTATTGTGCTTCATTAACAATTTAGTATATACATTTAAATAATTTAATTATGAATGTCAACAAACAGAAAATATTCCATATAGAAAATAGTCCTTTTAAAATAATTTTTGTAGTTAGCATTATTTGTATATATCAGACAAAAGGTATTTCTCAGTTTTAGGGGTAAGGTACGTGAGGAGCCGTGCCATTACAGGGCAGGAAGGGGTTGTGAGGACTCTGGGCGCTGCCAGGGGCTTGATTACTGGTTATTGTCAGATTTCACAATGTTGGCTATCAGCAAAACATATCTGCCCAATTAGTAAACTCTCTAGAGAGAGCCTAAACTCACATACATTTTAGGAAAGTAAAAAGAAAGAGATACAAGGATGAAATTGAGACCTTCCACGTCCATTGCTTCCAACACGGGAAAACTTACACTCCCTTGGTCATGTGGCGTTGTAATCCTGCTTCTTTGGTTCCTACCTTAGAGTGTTAAGAACACGGAACCGGTGCCTGCTCTGGCCCTGTTGTAGTCCCAGCCTTAGGATTTCCAACGTGAAAGGGTGCAGCGTGAGTAGCAGCCGTGCAGCCAGTCCTGGTTCCAGGGCTCACGCTGGCCGGCGCGGTCCGCTCTGTGCCAAGCCCTCCCCAAAGAAATCTGTTTTGTGTCAGGCTGGGCTGAGTCACATAGAATAGATAGATAGTTTATCAGCACATGTCCTCCAGATCATGTTATCCGCTTACAAATATAGCCTGTTAGCGCACAGGCACGGCAGGCTCCGGGCAGCCCCGGCTCTTCCGGCTCGGCCGTGCTGCTCTGCGGGTGTAAACAGCGGATTACGCGCCGACTCCGGGCAGGTGGAGGTAAGGGCGGTGGTCGCGGTGGCCTTCCTGGGTGGGGGGCAGGGACTGCGGGAGAGGGGAGGGCGGGGCGCGCCACCTGCGGGGAGCTGCGCCTCCGTGCGCTCCGCTAGTTTATGTCCTCCCCCGGGGCCGTGGTGACCTCGAACCAGCCCAGAGCTAAGTGTCCCTAATGGGACAGGGGCTGAGGACTAGGTACTGACCTGTGTCTTAGGTCAAGGACTACAACTGAACCGGGAGGAAGGGGGGACGCTGGGGCGGGCGCGGGTCACTCCGGAGCCTGCTTAGCGGGCTTCTCCGGCGACCTGCCCTTGGCCACCGCTGAGTGCAAAGCGGTCTGGTCCAAAGCGCTGTCCGGGGGAGATAAATCAACTTTGTTTGTATCCTCTGGCGCCCAGAAAAGTTTGAGTGACACCTGACCCTGAGCTGGAAGAGCGTCTCAGGGCCCTTGCACGGGGTGGGGCTAGGCGGGCGGGGTGGGGTCCAGGGTGGAAAGTGATTGGACACCCAGAGAGTGGTCTGGCTTTAAGCGGCTCAGCCCTGCTGCTGGCTTTTCTGCTGGACCAAGGCCCCCCAGAACTCAGGGATGGGAGGGGGTTCACCATTATTCTTCCAAAGAACCTCTGCTAGCCATGCAGGGTGGAGAAAAACCTCAGATGCTCAAGTACCTCTTGTTTTTATGTTATATTTAATTGGTGACAATGACCCTGTCTTAATTTCTTTTCTTTTTTTCTTTAAATAATTGACCTTTTTTGAGCCTTACTAGGTGCCAGATACTGTCTAAGCACTTGGTACAAATGATCACATGTAACCCTCTTACCAACCCGGTGAGCTTGGTGCTGTTGCATCGTGTCCACAGGACAACACTGGGGCTCAGAGAAGTTAGGCCACGTTCTCAGGGCCATGCCACCAGTAAGCCAGCAGGCAGAGCTCCAGCTTGGCAATCTGGCTCTGGTTAGGTCCTCTTAATCCTATCTGGACCTTCTCTCTCCTGGGCTGGATTTTCTAGCTTAACAAATTTCCATAAAAATAATCAGGTGTCCCCAGGGAAACTGATCATGTGGCATAAATGATTTGGCTGACTATACTAACTTTACTTGAATATTTGGCCCATACTTACCCCACTGTTTCTCTTTTTATTTTGAGACAGGGTCTTTCTCTGTCACCTGGGCTAGAGTGCAGTGGCGTCATCACAGTCCACTGCAGCCTCAAACTCCTGGGCTAAAATAATTCTCCTACCTCAAACTCCTGAGTAGCTGGGACTACAGGCGTGTGTCACCAGTCCGAGCTAATTTTTCTACTTTTTGTAGAAAAAAACAGATGGCCATGGCACACCTCTCTGTGCGGGGTCTGCTTTTATTCAGGCTGGTCTCACACTCTTGGCTTCAAGTGATCCTCCCTCCTTGGCCTCTCAAAGTGCCAGGATTACAGGCATGAGCCACCGCGCCTGGCCCTTACCCCACAGTTTCTATCAGAAAGCTTACTCTGCGTTCCAGTGGCCTTCAGTGATCATGCCAGGGGCTCATTGCCCCTGTGGAGAGCTGGGATCTCACTCTCACTCCACAGGGAAGTCTTGGGAGGATTTGAACCCTGTGGCAGCATGATCTAGTTTCTGTTGGAAAATGACTGTCACTATTGAGTGGAAAGTGGATTGGATATGGGTGAGTGGGAAGCCAGGAGACTAGTTAGGAGACTTTTGCACAACCGAGGCAAGATGTGACACTAGGTGGCATTTGAGTCACCATTTGGCTGCCATATTATCGCCCCCGTTGTACTTGGTATCTCCAGAAATTCCGTTGGTTACAGTTGTCTTGACTCTGGCAACGCTGCCGATATGGGTCTTCAAAGCAAGGACACACCTGGAAGTGTGTTGTGGCCTGGAACTGGGCAGCCCAAGGGGAAGAGGGGTCCTGGGGTGCCTGAGGGGCAGGAGGGGAGGAGGGAGCCAGGCCTCTCTCCCCAGGGTTCAGGTGACACTGGCACCATCTCATCTCCTCTCCCTCAATCCTCTCCACCTCCAGAGGGAGCACCTCCTCCCAGACTCCTCCAGATGCTTCGCCATGCTCTGAGATGTTTGCCCTGCACCCACTCTGCACCTCCTGCCTCCCAGCCCAGTCTGTCACTTGACAAGAAGGGAGAGGACTAGGTCACCAGAAAGTTCCCTCCTCCCCCGGCATATGACTTCTGAGTGGAGACTAGTGCTCTGGTGCCAGGGGACATGTTTTTCCAGTCATGCCCTCTGGCTCAGGCGAGTGGATGGTTCTGTAAAGTGATTCTGATATAACCAGGTTGGGGAGGGGGATACAGAAGTTAACCAGCCAAACCCGCACTGATGGCCCTTTCCCTTCCTCATTGTCCTTGTGGGACTCTCCCCCGCCCCTCCCCTGCGTCCCTCCTCTTGGCTCCCAATCAACGCGCTGCTCTGAGATATATCCCTTTATGCCGATGTTCTCCCCTTGAGACTGGGAATTTGGAGGCATGGACAAGACCTCAGTTTTTCTGCATTTGGGTGCCCGTAAATATCAGTTATTTAAGATTCCCAGGAATTGAAAAACAGAAATACATACCAAGTAAAATGGCACAGTACACATGATTTCTGTACTGAGGTTCCGAAGCAGAAGCCTGGCATCTGTAGCCCTTGCAGGACTCAGAGCCTCCTCGTTTGATGTCTGTGACACACCTCTCTGTGCAGGGGCTCATATGAGGTGATGGAGACTATATCTGCCACTGTGTGGCCTGCTTAGTGTCGGGTGGCTGAATTGATGGGCGCCAGGCTTCTGCGGCTTCCCGGTAGCTGCTCCTATCAGTAAACTGTGGCTTCATCCATGGACATGTGAAATATATTAATAATTGAACAATCATCTATTTAACTTGCATTAAGTGCTGTAATGTGAATAAGCTATAGATGGATAGAGAATGTAACGGGAGGGTCTTCTTAGAGGAGAAGGCCGGAGGGCCAGACTGAGGAGAAAACATTTAAGCTGAGTTCGGGGGTGTGGGGAGGAGGCCATGGGAATGGGGAAGAGTGGTCTAGGCCGGAGAGCAGTGTGTGCTGAGCTCTGAGGGGAAAGAAGTGTGGTGGACACACACTGAGGAGGGGAGCAGTAGTAGTGAGGCAGGAGGGGCCGGCTGAGGACAGATCATGCCAGGGGCTCACTGCCCTGTGGAGAGCTGGGATCTCACTCTTATTCCGCA